TTTACGTAACATTTGAATTTCTGTACTTAATTAACAACTGTACCGATAACGAAAATAATTATATTAAACTACTCAGAAAAGAACAAAATTTTAAGAATTACTGTATTAATGATCAATTAATCATGGATAATAAGGAATAATTATATCATTAAAAAGTAAAAATGAATCTTCGTCGTTTAAATTGATATTTATTTTGAATGCACTTCCGTTTTGTAAATGTTCAATATTATTTCTTTCTCAGCTTTACTTATGTAAGATTTCTTCTGTCGTTTTTTAGGAGGACTTAAATCCATCGCTTTATTTTCCATATTACTCATGAAACACTTACAAAAAGACACCACGGCGAAACAAACAACCCTCTAAAAATAAGAGTTTTTGCTTGTCTGATAGGCGCTATTTGTCATTATTCCGGCGCCAAGTAGACAGCTGTATTGCGCCAAATAGCACGCCGCTTTGTTTACTTTCGCTATCAGTTCTCGTTGAACAGACTATAGAGGATTTTTGTTTTAAAGTGCGTTCTTGCTGCATTACTGAAGTGCGCTTGATTTGTTAGTTACCAAGGATGGGCCCGAAAATGAATGTGCGCAAGGTAATATTATACTGGATAATTTAAAGAAGTTGTCTATAAATAATTTTAGAAAATAAATATTTATTTAAGAAAAAATATGAATTAGAAGAGAAAAAGAAACATGAATTGCCTGTTTTGCACATAATTTTAGCCACGGATTTGCACATGGAAAAATTATGTAAATTAACAAAGAAATCTTTTTAGTAAATAATTTCAGCCACGGATTTGCCTGAAATGGATTTGCACATGGAAAAATTTTATAAATTAACAAGGAAATTTATTAGTAAATAATTTTACCCACGGATTTGCCCGAAATGGATTTGCTCATGGAAAAATTATATAAATTAAAAAAGAAAATATTTTTTTAGTAAATAATTTTAGCCACGGCTTTGAGCGGAATTGATTTGCACATGGAAAAATTTTATAAATTGATAAAGAAATTTTTCAGTAAATAATTTTAGCCACGGATTTGCCCGAAATGAATTTGCACATGGAAAAATTAAATAAATTAACAAAGGAATTTCTTAGTAAATAATTTTGGCCACGGATTTACCCGAAATGGATTTGCACATGGGAAAATTATATAAATTAACAAAGAAAATTTTTAGTAAATACGTATATCTACAATAATATGCGATTAACTCAATAATTTTATATAGAATTTTATTGCTTTAGCTGGGTATCCATTGTTTTTTTATCAAATTTTGAAAGAGTTTATCGATTTGTTTTTTGGATAAATAAATAATACTACATACTCTTTTAATTCTATTCATTTCATTAAAAGTGGTATTTAAATAGATGCACATAGAAACATTAGAATTCCAAGTAATTAGTTTATTTATATTAAAATTAAAATCATTTCTTTTATCGTATAAATCAAAAAAGCAGATATTTTCTTCTTTTATAATACCCAAATCCAAAGAATTGAAATTAATATTATCATCATGATTACGAAGCAAGAATAATTCTTTGGGGTAAATATCATTTAATAAGATAGTATAATCTTGAAAATTAAAGACAATTAAGTTATCAATATATCTAAAAACAAATTTAATACTAAGAGTATAATTTTTTTTCATAATAATGCAAAAATAAGTTAGCTAAGAGAGATGAATAATTAGATCCTTGTGGTATTCCATCAATTTGAAGAAAAATATTCCTCCCATTGTAAAGATAATTATTAAAAAGACAAAAATTAATCAGAATTTCCCAACAATCAAATTCGCAACAAAGGATATTTTTGAAATCATAGTAATAATTCAAAAGAACATCTTTTAGCTTAGAAAGGGGAATGCTATTGAAAAGATACTGGAAATCAAAAGTCGCAATAGAATTCATTTTATTATGTTTAATGAATTCTAAAATTGGTTGATCATTAGTGATGATCCAAGAGAAACCTTCTCTTAAAATTGGTAGTAGTGATAATTTCCCGATAAATTCTGTTTGTTACGGTCAGGAAATGATTGAAATTCATCGAGAACGCACCTCCAAACGAAATTTGAGTGCCTTAGCAAGTCGGATTTTGATTGCTAAATTCCAATGACACGAAAACGGGTCAATTTCAAAGTAGAAAGAAAAGTATCGACATTATTTATCTAGTAAACGATTATGCTGACAGACTCTCACTAAAGTNTCTTGAAAAAATAAGTGGTGCCCGCCATTCGACCGATATTCTGGTATTTGCTCTTAGGTACAAAAAGGTTGGGGACCCCTGAGCTAGAGTGTTGCTCCTAATGCTTTTTCAGTAGCATTCATGTGTCTTTGTCAGTTTGGAAGAATGATAAGGGATAGAAATGAAAATCAAATATTTATCAATAGCTTTTAGATTTCGTGGAGTAATTAACACTTAGATACAGATCGAATATGGGTGATCCTTATTTATATATATTTTTTTCTACCACATTAATTACAAGCAAAAATATATTTTTATAATTTTTACTTATGAAAAACAGTCTATCAATTACTAAAAAAATATCCGTTATATAATTGGAATTATAATACCACTAAAATATTAACTACAAAAAAAAGTAGCATTAAATTTTTTTCCATTCATATTCAAACATTTATCAATAAGTAATTTTTAACACTTAAGAAATTTCAATGATAAATAACTATTTCTCTTAGAGTTAAGTAATAAGTGCAAATTTGAAAAATTATTGTTTGGAAGTGAACTGTGTTTGGAAGATAACTTTAACGCAGAAAAAGGACACCGGTGTTTCATTCTGTATATCATCACCATAAATTATCGAAATGCTAAATGTAATATTTTTCAATTATTTTAACCTAAATTATTATAAAATAATGAAAAATATTTTTTTATAAAAATTCTGCCTCAAAGGGTTACGGAGAGGAATCCAAGAAAGATATTAAAAATCCTCACTGAGGTGTGTTTAGTCGTGTGCGCATATAAATGCCCTCTTCTTTTTTAGTTTATAAAAATACTATAGAAATCATTAGATGCAGAAAGAAAGTTTATACAAAACATGCTATATGAAATTTCCTATAAACGTTATAAGCGGAAAAATGTAAGGAGAGTTGAAAACGCGTAAAACGACGTAAATATGTCATTTTTGTTATGTAAAATAACTAGATATTAGTAAAAAATGTTTCTTGCACAAAATTAACTTAGTGAAATGATAATAGTAGTTTTTCCTACAAAAATGATATGAAAAAGTTTTTTTTTTTACTCAAGGGATAGAGAAGATTTATTGTTCAGGTAATAAATGGGAAGGGAAAAAAGAAAACGAACTATAACGAAAGAGAAGCAAGCTGTTTTACTTCCTACAAAAATAAATAAAACGAAACAAAAGAAAAATTATATAATTTTATCAAAAAATCTGAAGTTTTGGCTCTCTTATCGAGAAAGCCTATTGTTAGCCTACCTTTTTGTATCTGTATCTATTTTTTTTTTAAATAATTTATTTTCTGTTACAGATTGCCTATTCAAATTTCAATGTGATGATGGAGAATGTATTAGTGAATCGTATGTTTGCGACGGAGAAGAAGATTGCAAAGATGGTAGTGACGAACGTGTTTGCCACGCTAGAGTTTGTGACTTAGAATCGAATTTTCGATGCAGAAGCGGGCAATGCATCCTGAAATCAGAAGTATGTGATGGAAGATCCGACTGTGGAGATAGCAGTGACGAATCAAATTGCAGTAAATGAAACTTTATCTATTGTTTAAAATATCTGGAAGCTCCGAATCTGCCAGCTTCGCTCGCGATCACCCCAGAGTAACATCGCATTCAACTTGGTTTTTTCCCTTAGAATTCATTACTTTTCAAGGAAAAATAATATCATGTCGTGTATAAATATATAATTATTATAATCAATTGTAAGAACATTTTCTTGATTTGTTAATCGTAACAAAATGAACCATTACTTGTATTAGAAAAAAAAATTTAAACTTAAGATTATAGAATGCGTGATACAATAAGAAGTAATAAATGATAAGTAATTTTCTTTCCAACAGTCTATAATGATAACCTCATCTTGTATAACAGTTCAATTTGCAGATGACTTCAAGTTAAAAAAATTCACGTAAGAAGCACTCGAAAATTGCAATAATTTTCAAAGAAAATAGAATTTCGAAATTTTTTTTTTTTGTGTGAATTTTATAATTGAAAACGGTCCAACCAACATGCAAAATTTTAACTCTGTTAATTCATTTCAGCTGGCAGTAGATCAGTCAACATAGTTTTTTGTTTTTGTTTCAAGTTTTATCTTAGCATATTTGATAAGTCTCGAACAAATAATCCAATCTTAAATTTTTCTTATTCCATCTAATTCCTTATATCTTTGTAATGTTCAATTGAGCACCTAAAACAGCAGCAACGACCCTAACGATGATTAATAATTCTCTAAACTTAGTTAGAAACTTGGGAACGCTTTGAACAACAATATCATGCAAAATTGGCTGCAACTTTAATACGAGGCCTTCTTGAACCATTTTGTCGTGCAAACTTAAACATCATATACAATACATGATCACAGTTTAACTTGGACAGCAAAGCATGGTTCATTTTCACATATTATTAACAAATTACAATGAATTCGCTCAATATTATGGTTCAATTGACTTATATTAAGATTTTACGCTTAACCAATTTTTTGAGAGCGTAGGTACCTTTAAAAGGCGAGCCAAGGCTGCCTCTGCCATGGTTGTTTGCCAAAGACGTTAGATATATGGCTTTATAGTTACTTGGTTTCGTCTTTGAGGGTATATTTTTCACGAGTTTCTGAAGCATTTAAAGTAATTTTTGCATTAGCAATAAACCGATGTTTTTAATTTGGTGCTATAAATTATCATGCTAGTTTATAATTAACCTTGTGAAAGTCTTTTTCTATTAAACGAAGAAGGAAAAAAATTAAAATGCGATAAGAACTTTTAGTATTTTAATTACATCCGTTAAATAACTTCGGAAATGAGTATGTTCTTGTTTCAAAACGGATGTTTGAAACTGCTTCCTATTTCTATTTCGAAATTTTCATTAATTACCATTTATTTTAATTTTAATGCGCTTAGCGATGGAACTTAACAAGTTGAGAAGTATTCCCAATTAAATAATAACTTAGGAATATTATTAATTCATTTATTTTAATTTTAATGTGCTTTGCGATGGAACTTAACAAGTCAAGAAGTGTTCCAAATTAAATAATGGCTGAGGAATATTATTAACTCATTCATTTTAATTTTAATGTGTTTAGTGATGGAACTTAACAAGTCGAGAAGCATTTCAAATTAAATAATAACTGAGGAATATTATTAATTCATTTATTTTTATTTTAATGTGCTTAGCGATGGAACTTAACAAATCTAGAAGTATTTCCAATTAAATAATAACTGAGGAATATTATTAATTCATTTACTTTAATTTTAATGTGCTTTGCGATGGAACTTAACAAGTCGAGAAGTATTCCAAATTAAATAATAACTGAGGAATATTATTAATTCATTTATTTTAATTTTAATGTGCTTAGCGATGGAACTTAACAAGTCGAGAAGTATTCCAAATTAAATAATACTTTGTTTTAAAGTTCGTCTTTAATAAATGAGTGTTCAGTAGAGAACTTATAACTGTCTCCTAATACTGAAATTTAGAATTGTGAATGTAGGGAAATTCTATGAATTTATTGTTCCAGACATAATTTCCATGTATGTGTTAAATTAATTGTATGCAAATCAAATCACGTATACGAATTAAATGAAATGAAATATAAATAAAAGTATTGTTTCGTCAGTAATGTACAGTGGATTACCCTGAATAACTTTTGATCTATTGATCGGATCCCTACGTTCTAGGACTCAATTTTGAATGACTCGAGGGAATGATCGCAAATATGCTAATTAATAAGTGTAAACGATATTTTAAGTTAGGAAATCAGACACAAAAACGTGCCTTCTCTGTATAAACATACCTTTTTTCAACGGATTTGGATTTTCGTCCCCGGGAATATAGGGGGTAGCTGCAATCTGGGAAATATGGCCCTGATAGTTTGAGCAGGGGATCTATTCAAAGTTTGGACCTTTTAATCTTAATTTTACTTTTTTCGTATTTTGCCATATCTCGAGAACTTTTTGAAAGAATTGAATAATTTTTGCATACTGTTATAAAATTTGCTTATCCAAAGATAATTCCATGCAAAAAATAAATTTCAGTAAATATTTATTATTTTATTAAATAATAGTGGAAAAATTTTTTGAATTGTAAGGTACCGTCATGTGGGGCTACTTTGTGCAAATTCGAATTTGGCGCTTTTCAAGTGCTGTTATTCAGTATTATGTTTTTTTGCACGTTAAAAATGAGTGGAATTTGAAGATAGAAGTATCCTCTATTACTACAAACATTTTTTCGAATTTTAAAACAATCTCAGAGTGTGTTTTGTTTATCCAATGTCAACAACTTTCCGAGAAAGTCAGACGTTGAAAAGTGTGCGTGGAAACTTAAGCTGTGCAATATAAAGACGTTGATAAAACAATTGTCGTAAGTGCAAAATTTTTTATTTATACATTAATAAACAATGATATCATGTCAGCGTTAAAAAAAATTTAAAATTAATAACAAATAAACGGAAAATGAAAAAAAAAATGCACTGTGGGGCTACTTTGTGCAAAGTTTCATTCATTTTTTTCGATTGTCGGACGTTATAAAAAAATACCTCGAATGAGAAATTACCGTGATTACACTTTAGAAAAGCTGCAACAATGTTTGCAAGCAGTTGCTGGTGGTATTTTAAATAACTCGNTGAAGAGCAAGTTCTGTCATGTTCATTCAAGCATGTTATGTTCAAATTTATCAATATTATAAATGTTAATGAATATATAATAATTATTATTTTTGAAATGTCATCCATTTCAATGTTTAAAAATGTATATGGTTTCCTATTGTTTAAACTCAAATGTTTCGAAATAAACATTCTTTTTAAGAAAAAATTCTTTATAAAAAATGTTTTTTTAACACTGAAAATTATTTTTAAACTAATATCTTTACATATCTTGATGTTTTTGTTATCAAAAATGTCAACAATTAACTTTTTTAACAATTTTATATCAATATTTTACTAAAAACATGATTATTAAACTGAATTCCTATCGCTGAACAAAGGAGCCCCACTTGGGGGCTACTTTGTGCAAGGTACGTTTTAACTTATTATTTGTAAATATTACATACAAATAATGCCAATACTGATCAAATTCACTCGCCTGAGTCCAGTTATGAATATAACATCGATAAATTTTACTAAAGTTTCAATTAACATAGTTTTTTTACATGTCAAAGTTCAAAAATTGCGAAATCCTGCACAAAGTAGCCCCACATGACGGTATACAATTTTTTTACATGATTTTAAAGTATGTAATTTTACAATGCAAAATACAAAATTTGAGTGAAATTGGTTGCAATGGATTTAAGTGGTTAGCGAGAGCAGCCCCTTTGAACCCTTATCCAATTTTCGTAAACTGTTTTGAGCCATATTTCTTAGTGTCTCTACATTTTTAAGAAATTGATTTTTTGTTTGTTTGTTTCATTGCATTTAGCTGCATCAACCTGCCAAGGTTTTTACTGCGGACATGGAGTATGCTTATCTTTGTTTCAGAGATGTGATCGAAAAGTAGATTGCGTTGATGGCACTGATGAAGAAGATTGTACTGATATTCCTTGGTGCACTGAAAAATATTATTTCCGGTGTGGGAATGAATGCTACCCTAAATACTTCGTCTGTGACAGTGATCCTGACTGTTCTGATGGTTCCGATGAGAAAGACTGTGGTAAGTGGCATTTTTAAAATTTGCAAAGTGCAAAATAAAGAAAAAACACGATGAGACCCTAATAATTTTTGATCTCATTATTAGATTTTCACGTGCTAAGATGCAATCTTTAAGGGACTAAACTTTGTTAAAATATTTGTTCAGATGATATTTCTGGAAAGGGAATCAGACTAAAAAACGACCTCCTCAAAATATGGGGGCGGGGTGGCAGTCGCAATCTAAAATATTTGATTCCATTAGTTTAGTCAGGGGATCGGTCAATTGTTTGGTCTTTTTAATATTATAATTACAATATTTAAGTATTTCCCTATATCTTGAAAAGTGCCTAAGCAAATCGAAAATTTTTTGGACACAATTATATAGCTCGTTTGTCTTAAGATAGTCCCTGCGAAAAATAGTCAACAATTAAAAAATCATTTTTGAAGGAGCTTAGTATATCTATGCTTAAATTATTAAAATGTGAAGGTAGTCAAAATCACTTTATATCACCCTTATTTAAACAAGAGTAAAATGTTATATAAATTTTGCCATCACTTTAAATATAAAATCTTCCCAAAAATCTGAAATAGTTGGCAGGCATGAGTAAAATAAACAGATTTTTATTTTATTTTAAACTGCGTGATTTGAAAAAAAAATGCAAATTGCGAACAAAACTGGTTAAATAGTTTCCGAGTTTAAAATTTATATAAAAAACAGCATTTTTAAACTTTCTTAACTCAAGGGCTGTTTGCACTGATGCCTATACCTAGGGTGCCACGTTTTGCAATTTTTTTTCCGGAGCTAAAGGTACTCGGCAAAATTAGCCAATCCAATGGACTTCACAAATATTAGATTAAGAAAACGGTTAGATTAAGAAACAACACTTGCGTTAAAAACTAGTTTTGAATCCTTAAAATACAAGTTGGATACCCTTAAGATAATAGAGATGGGAGTTTAAGTGATGCACAAACTTGGTACAAATGCAACTCTATTCTCAGTTGGCTTCATATTTACTTTGTTTAAGTGATACTACTGGGAGATTTTCAAAGGCAAATTGTTTTGAGCATATCAGACGTGTGTATAAATGGAGGGTCGATATATTTCTGTCAACAGGCGTAAATACATAGGAATGTTTGTTTCGTTTTTTTTGTGGTAAATTTTAGCATTCAACTGATCAAGTAAAGAGAATTACCCGTGTGTCGTAATTCTCCAACCTAAATATAGGAACTCTACAACTACATTGACAATTACCAAAAATACTTTACACTATGTGAAGTCTTTTTGTGTTGCAGATTCCCATCCATCCGAAGAATGCACACCCCGACAATTCAAATGCAACAATGGTTCTTGTATTTCGGAGTTTTGGGTTTGTGATGGTGAGAAGGATTGTTCTGAAGGGGAAGATGAAGATGGCTGCGAAACCAAATCTTGTGAGGAGGGGGAGTTCCGATGCAAGTTTGGACGTTGCATCCCAAAAGACAAAACGTGTGACGGTAGTTATGAATGTTACGACAAGACTGATGAAGCTGTTTGCCGTAAGTTTTATTTTTAATTATTTTTCAAGAGGAGGCAATACCACGGGAGAAACTTTTCAAAATAAATTCTATTTCACCTCCATTGGTAATTTAAAGTTCAGAGAATAGTGCGTTCATATAAACCTAGAGAAAATCAAGACGTTTGAAATGCTGAAAAATATTTTCAAAACATCAAAATACGAGCAATTATTCCTGGATTAATTTCCTATTGCGTAATCTTGAAATAATTTGTTTGTACTTGGATAGTCTGAAATTTTTTTCTTCATAATTTGAAACTGCATGGTTCATTTAAGTTTTTAAATTTTTTTTTTTTACAATTCCCTCTTGGGGAATAACTTACGTCATACAGGCATCTGAAGGGCAGATTTGTTGGCCACTCTTTCACAACTTATTAGGTGGGCCAACGTTGCTCCCACAGTAAGGACAGATAGTACAGAGAAGGAAAGAATATCCATGCCTTGCCCGGGATTCGAACCAAGAACCATTCCGATGCAAGGGCAGTTCCCTAACTCCTACACAGACCGGTCGGCGGTTTTTTTTAACTTTAAATTACCTTTGCAGATGAGAGAGACTTTGTCATGAAGGTATGTTTCCTCTTAAAGCATTAAGTAAAAATTCATTGTATTTTAAATAGCTTGTGATTTCTTCAGAACCATGAACACATATACGTAATCCCTTCACTGACCAAGGTATTATATATGCTATTATATATGCTCTCTGAATCTAGTGGCATAAGTTCATACGGACGTGATCTCATTACGGTACTCTCGTATTAGTATGTACGCCCTCTGCGAGTGCGGATCACTTCTTTCTCCTACCACTGGTTCTGAAAGGGTTAAAAGACTTTTTAGAGTTTACAAATGGGGGGGGGGGACAAACTTTTAATTTAACAGGTTAAAGATGCAAAACACTTAACCAAACATTTATGAATACCTTTTATGAACTTGTAACATTTATAAATATAGCATATGCTGAGAGAACAGAGCCTTTGTAGATTTGTCATAAGTTTTACCTATCGCTGAACAA